GGGAATGGGATTTGACTGCAATTCCTGCAACTCTTTGGTGATTCGTCTTAAGGCCGACATTGGGTTCAAACCGATTGGTGTCCGGATTAGTCTGAATGTCAGCCGTTTTGTTGGACACAATTATCTCGTTTTGTGTCGATTTGTAATCTCAACTGTTTTTGTGTTCAGTATTTGATTGTTTTAAAAGTTGAAATAATTTTTTAAGATTGTTTTCATTTTAATTACAAACTTAATTATTGCATTTTAATACAGGTTTACGTAGGTAATTTTAGAACTATTATTTATTTATGTGATCAATTATAGTATTATTATATTATAGTGATCAATGATCATATTCAAAACGTGTATCGATTAATTATATTCATAATTATATTTTTGTACTGAATGTATAATTTTGTACCGTGTTAATCTAAATTAATTTGTAAACCTATTTCTATTGTACAGTGCATTGTAATGCATTAAAGTATTAACATAAACATTTAACCAAAAGGAACCTTTATAAACTAATATTTTATTAAAGTATTCCTTAAGTTATACAAATTGACACTACAATTGAGTTTTTTAAATGCCACAACATTTATGTTAATTGTGATTCACTAATGTTTTCATTTTTATTTCATATATGAATCAAAAATTCAAAGACTAGCTTATGTATAAAACTAAATAATACATTGGTTTTCACATTTCATGAATTAACTCAATGACTGAGTCCTTTGCAAATTGTATATTAAATGTGAAAACCAATGCATTACTTAGTTTCATACATAAGCTAGTCTTTGAATTTTTGATTCATATATTATTTATTTGCAAATATTTCTCATTCATTCAAATAATATTAACAACTTATCAATAATTATAACAGAAATTCATTTCTTTATTCATTGATAAATTGGCAAAAAATGGACTGAATAGCCATATTCTATTGACTACCGGTGCCGCCACTACTATCCTGAGTTGACTGATTAGTGAGGGCGAATGATGGTGATGGCTGTGGTGGTCGGGCATATAGTTGGGTCCACTCCTTAGCCCTCTGATTGAAGAGTTGCCTATTAGTACGGTAGGCATGGGTGTGTTCCTGAGTGAGGGGGTCGTCCGGGTTAGGTGTGGCCAACAGTTGCTGAATAGTGAGCAACACTTTGCTGATGGACAGGGCGGCGCTCCAGGCATCGGATAGTGTGTCCACACATATATGGCCATCTTGGTGAGATATGTTTGGGTGGAATACACGGGTCTGTATTTTAATGGTCGGCGGACTGAACGGGTAGTTCTGCGGGAACTGTATTCTCACGATAAACAGTCCGCCCGCGTATGGTGTGTCCGGAGGGCCCGCGATATTGCCCACCCATTCAAAAGGGTTAGTGCCGGGCGGGACGGGGGCGGCAGTGATGCCGGGAATGGGATTTGTCTGCAATTCCTGAATCTCTTTGTCGATTCGTCTGAACGCCATTGGATTCACAAACTAAATGTCAGCCCTTTTGTTGGACACAATTATCTCTGTTTGTAACGATCCGTATTCACAGCTGTTGTTGTGTTTAGAATTCAATATTTAATTATTGCTTAAAATTTCAAATAATTACAAAAAGTTATATGTTTTGTAATGATAAATAGAAATTATTTGAAAAACTATTTTACCAAACAGACTAAAATACCTTAATCTTAATGTTAAAACTTTATTATTCCCAAAACTGAACTCATATTTGATTGATTCAAAATGCCGACTCTTAATGCTATCATATATCGGGTTTGTGTTTTGAAAATAATATTTAATAAAATAAAAATCCATTAACTTGTATGTATTGTAATATTTGTTTGTTATTAATATAATAATAATATTTTTGTAACTTGATTATACTCTGTACAGCAATTTTCGTATAATGGTTGAGTAGATGTACAGTATAGATGTCTACCAATCATTGTTTACACTTATATGAAATATGCACAAAATTAATTGCTATGCAATATTACTTGTTGGAACACCAAGGTAGTATTTGTTTTATTTATATTAAAATATATAATTGTAAAGATGTCTTAAAACGTTATGAATATATGTTATTAATTTGAATAACTTGAACACCGTATCATATATAATAAAATTGGCTTATGAATAATTAAAATTAAAAACTAGAGATTTACAAAAAAAAATTGTTGATTAGTTAAACAAACAAAGTGGTTATGAAAAATTATTTGTTAAATAAATATGCAAAATCATTATGTCAGTTATGTACTTTTGGAGTTAATTTAAAGTTATTATAAAAAGCTATTAAATAAAATCATTATTTACTTACTTTTAAATTAGTGGTGATTAAAATGAAAAACATAACCAAAAATAAAGTGCAAAGAGTATCCGGTCAACTGTTTTCAAAATTCTCAACCCGAGAGTCCATTGATTACGCTCTGAACTACCGGCCCGACCCCAACACCCGTATTGTTATGGGCTACCCTAACACTGGCATCTCCCTGGTCCAATTTATCGCCTTATACATCATGAGCTCGGGTAGGATACGGTGTACAACCATAGTTGACTACATGCGATGTAAGCTTGAGTATAGTGGGCACCGGGTGCTGGACAGGGTGGGCCTGGAAGCCGATGACCCTTTGTTTATGTGGACACATATCGACTTCAAATTATTTCCACACTGTCCGGACGGGCGGTATTTACTAGTACTGCGAAACCCAAAGGATGTTTGCGTCACGTTTTACCGCTATTTTGAGCGCAATTACGTCAATGGTTTGGATTTTCATCAGTTTTTTCAGCAGTGGATCACCGGAAGGGACATACCGTGTGGTGACTATTTTCAAACTATACTCGGTTACTGGCAACACCGGGATCGGGACAATTGTGGACTCATTATATACGAGCATATGATGGCATATACCAGGGATAGTGCGGTGAGAATTGCTTCATTTTTAGGCGACGACTATGTGGACAGACTGTTTGAGCCAATGAGCACCGGGAGTGCTGAGACACTGTTAGACCGGGTATTAGAGGCGTGTAAACCGGAAGCGATGAATAGGTCTCACGACTTGTTTTATACACTCGTGGGCCAGGAGGAGGTCATAGACTGGAGGGCTGTTATGTCGAGAGATGAGAGCGATTTGATTGATAAGAGAGTGAGAGATGAGTGGATGGGAACGGGTTTGGAGTTGCTTTGGGAACGGGAGCTCAAGTGGTGATCGTTATGAGAAAATAATGCTAAAAATCTATAATTGATTTAATTAATCATGAGTATGAATACATTGATACGTGGTAAACAAATGTTATTACTCAAATATTGTGTATCAAGATGAAATTTGCAATAAATTATCTAAAACTATTAAATAGTTTTGGTGTTTATTTAATCTTGAATTTCTTAAACAGAATACAAAATGTTTTTAATTTTTTATTAAGTCGTGTTTGTAATTGTATCAAGTAACATTTCAAAAATAATAATTTTTCCAAAAGCCATCGCAATTGGCTTCAAACGGGTTTTTCAATACATGTGTCATATTTAGTGGATCCAAAACCCGCACATTTACCACATTATTGTCCAACATTTGAGGCCATTGTGTGTCCGGTTTGCTGTCAATGTAAACATCAAATTGAATAAAAAAAATACTTTACATATGAAATGCATTATTTATACCCAGTTTTAGCAAAATTAGACCAAAGTGTCATAATATCAGCAGCAAATTTCTCATCCAGCTCTGTAAACAAATGTGCTTGCTTAGGAATTTGAAACGGCATACCAAATATATAGGGTAAGTCTGCGCCGTGACAAATGCCCATGGTAGCCTCATCGCATCCCATTAGTTTGGAAAAGTACTGACTCTGATAAGTCCACTCATAAAAGTAAACGTTATGTTTGTTTTTGACAATTTGTGCAAGGTGTTTGGCAAACAGATATGTCGGGCAATTCATCATTAAATCACCAAAAAAGTCTGTATAAGCCCTACGAATGGCTGCCGGACTACTCGTGTTCACACCATTCAGATAAAAGTCGGACACCTTTTGCACATCTAATCCATGGTATAACTCATCCCCGACTTTGACGTACTTTTTAAAGTCGTCTACAGTTTGTAAATTAATTTGTTTTAACACCAGATCTACCAGAAGTGGGCCTTCATTTCTGGTTAGCCCTGACATTAAGTCTATATCTGTATAAAAAGTTGAAAAATAATTAATTTACAAGACTATGTACTAATAATTTTTATTAATGCAAATCATACCATAATTTAATAGACGATCGTCGAGTGCCTTATGAGTATAAACCGGTAAAAACTCGGTTTCAAACACTGGAGTGGAAACAGATTTCTCTAATTTCAAGATATCCTTTGCGTCCACTTTTCGTAAACACTGCAACCAATCCTCAGTTTCACTACAATTCAGTTGTTTTGCCATTTGTTTGGCCTCCGAAAGGGCTTCAGTCTTATTAAGCGAATCCCTGTCCTTGTTGTACAAATGGGCCCCACTTTCCATAATAGCCCTCTTATACAACCCCTTTGATAATGGGCTTAATATTTGTGACGACACCGATACACTGCCGGCGCTCTCACCAAATATAGTGATCCGATCCCTATCCCCACCAAATTGATGGATATTTTCTCTGACCTTTAGTTAATTATTCATAAATTAATTATAAAAATTTATAAATAAATACAAATTACAATATATTTAATACCCATTTAATTGCCAATAACTGGTCATAAAAGCCCACATTTCCGGGCGCGTCCTCCCGATCCCCATACAAGAAGCCAAACGGACCTAATCTGTAATTAGTGGACACAACCACCACATCATATGCGGCCAAATCTATGCCATTATAGGGAGGCATTTGAAATATGGATCCATTTACTAGACCCCCGCCATGAATCCAAAACATGACTGGTTTTAGTACCGGTGCCTCAGTTGACTCGTCATTGTTTCCCACATTAGGTGTCCATATGTTTAGTACCAAACAGTCCTCACTTAGCGTTAAATTACCGAAACCTGGCGTTAGGTTCTGTATGCATGAGTTTCCCTGTTTTGTGC